ACTGACAATAGTTGGTGGGGACGAAGCCGACCAGACACGAATCGATCTCGAAGCAGTCGATTCGCCCAAGAAAGGAATCGGCGAGGACATCGCTCAGTGGCCAGGACAGAGGCCAGGATCCAAAGGGGTCAAGAGCGAAGAGCCGCACGGGACGCGGCAGACGCAGCAGCAACAACAGCAGGGTCAGGCCAGTCCACGGACGCGCCACCTGCTGAGCCAACACCGGCCGACCCATCGGCCGATCCACCAGCCGATCCTTCGGCTGAGCCAGACCCACCGGCACCAGAGCCGGGGTCAGTGCCATCTTCGGCGCTGGACATCGGGTCAACACCCGACGCACCCGATGTGCCTCAGACCAACCTAAGGGTGGAAGAGGCCAAGAGGGAAGTGCGGGTAGATCCGCCTCCGGGACGCGCTGCACTCGAAGCAGACGAGCGCGCACCGGTGAAGTTGGTCCCACAGGCTGAAAGGGCCAGCTCAAGGGCTGCAAGGAAAAGAGCCCGACTTCAGAAGGACTTGGACGAAGCCAAGCAGGCGATTGATTCGTCTGAAGCCCCAAGCCTCTCAATAGAAATCCTGCAAGACGCAGGCATAGAAGTGGTTGACTGGGAAGCTGACATCTCAAGTGAAGAGAGTTTTGAGATCTGCGTTCCAGACCCTGTGTTTCAGGGCAAGGATCCAGCTGACATCCCACAGCCACACGTGACGTCAGCAAGCAGCTCCAAGGAGCCGCTGCAGAAGTTGGCCGCACCTCCGCTGTACGCAGCGGAAGTCCCCGCGCGTGCGAGCCAGCTCACGCCAACAGTCAAGCAAGAGTTCAACAAAGCTCTTGACTTGTGTGAGCAAATCCAAGGGGTTTTGAGCCAAAGCCAGAGTGAACACTACGAGGTGGTAGACGAAAGACCACCGAACTGCAGAGAAGAAGATGGAGCAGCAAGCCGCGCAGATCCAACTGCAGATGGAGGCTCTAGCGAGTCAGGTTCAGGCCTTGACTACCGCTCAGCAGACCCAACAACAGGTGAATGCGCAGCTGCAGCTCGAGAAAGAGCAGCTGGAACAACGCCTCAACGTCGCGTTGGGACAATTGCAGCTATCCTTGCAGAACGGAGGCGCAGCAGGCGCAGTTCCCCAGCCCAGCGCGGGGAGCTCCGCCGGCACCAGTAGACCCGTCAGTCATATAGACGTGCTCAAGTCTGTGAAACAGCCTCAGTCCTTAAAGGACAGGGAGCAGTGGGAACGCTCCACCTTTCAGGTGGAAACCTATCTGGCACTGATCAATGAAGAGTTTCCCACAGACTTGGAAGAAGCACGCAAAAGTACCACGTTTGTGGACCCTGTGGATATGACTGATGACTGCAAGGCACGTGGCAGACAGCTTTTTGCCATGCTGACTTCCTGGACCCAGGAGTTAGCAGTAGCTGTGAAGATAGCCCGTGGAATTCGAGAACAGAACGGTTTTGAGTTTTGGAGGCTTCTGTACCGAGAGTTAGCCCCAGATAACCACTCGAAGAGTCTGATCTGGAGACGCTCGCTGCTTAGCCCAAAATTTCCCTCAAAAGAGACGGAATTTTCTGCGGCGCTCCAAGAGTGGGAGGCCGACTTAGACAGGTACGAAGCCGAATACGGCGCACAGAAAGCAATAAGTGATGAAGATAAACGTGCCGTAGTTCTGACCGAAGCTCCAAATGCCCTGAAACAGCACCTTTCCATGCACATAGCCACGCTGTATACCAAGCTGTGCGCGAAGTGGTGGTGTCATACTTGCAAGCCAAGCAGGTGTGGAAGCCATCGGCCGCGTATGCGGGTAGCACCGCACGCAGTGATCCCATGGAGATTGGACTCGTCCAACACAAAGGAAAAGGTAAGGATAAAGGTGGCAAAGGAAAGGATGGCAAGAAGGGCAAAGGGAAGGATCAGAAAGGAAAAGGGAAAGACACCCACTCGAAAGACGTTTAACGTACTTGTTTCGTTTATGTTTTACGGGGAACTTTCAGATCTGTATTTACCTTGAAACATTTTGGTTCAAGCTTACTTCAATCTTCTGGTGCGTTTATTATGCGTTTTGCTTGTTAAAAAAAAACAGACAAGCGCACTTCCTAGGTGCATATCAACCATTTGATCAATGGCAATTTGCTTTTCATTGCTTTGGTTGGGGTTGCATGTCCACATTCCAGACCATTTTTTGCAAGTTCTGCTTTTCACTGGACAGCCCTGGGTGGGGCGAGCAATGCGGCGCGACAGACGTCGTGATCCTGAGTGGACAGAAGTGTTCGCATCACCGGTCAGAGCTGAGCTGTGCACCATTATTGTCTCATTTTTGTATGATCAACATTCTCCTGTACGTGATTTGCCTGTGGATATCATATATCTTAGCTGGACTTCGAATCGGATTTTTTCCTTCACTTTGCGTTTCAGAGAGATCATTACTCCATCAGTGGCAGACCATGGAGACTCAGACGACAATAGATGATGGTTGGGACCTCATTACCGATGATTTCTTTTCAGATTTTGTGCAGCCCTCAGCCAAAGCATGTCCATTGCCACGACCTCAACCAGTTGTTCAACCTCGACTTCAGGCACCTTTCAGGCTGAACGCCACTCAATTGACAGGTACACCTGCTCCTTCGAGATCAGGTCCATGCTTGACGGTCGCACGGATCTCAGCAGCCACTCCTAAAGGAGTTCCGGCTTTTGCCCCAGTTCGCAGGGATTTGCTGCACCATGTTTCACGGATGGAAACTCCATATACTAGGGTTCATCGTGATGACTATTACCCTAAAAGTTTGGTGCGGGTTTCACAAACTGGGTCGACTGGCGATTCGGCGGCACCACATGACATTCTTGGGGGGACAGCATTGTGCCCCAGTACACTGCAAGCTCTTCCGTGCCCACCGTTGAAAAAGGATGGCATTCCAAAAGTGCCCAAACCCATCGTTCGGACCTTAACAGCCATGCAATTGACGCGTTCAAAAGTGACGAGTGAAAACAATTTCATAGTGGATCGTTTTGCAGCTCTTTTGGAAGTTTTTGGTCAATCCTCGGATGTTTACAGAGCACTGTCCGCTTCTCCATATGCAGCTGACCATAGAAAAAGGCTGTTGAATAACTTTGCAGCCACTACGGTACTTCGATACCTACAAGCGGTTCAAAAGTTTGTCACAGTCGCTCAGCAACTGGGGTTGGATATCCATGACTGGTCAGAGGCTCAACTTGCGGACGTTTTGACAGTGATGAAGCTGTCCAAATCATGTGACACAGACAAGGATGTTACCTCTGGAAATTTTACCATTAAAGCACTTCGGTGGTGGCATAAAGTGGCAGGCGTAAAAAATTTACATGTTTGCTTTTCACCATTGGTGGACAGCTTCTTGAAGACGAAGCTGAGCAAGGACAAGCGGGAGGCACCACCTCTCCCCCTTTGGATTTTGTTCCATTGGGAGCGTAGGATCCTTCAGAGCGCATCAACAAGATATGAAATCATGATGTTGGGAGCCTTCCTACTTATCACCTGGTCAGGACTTCGTTTTGCTGATGCACAGAGAATGAATGTGGATTCATTAGTGTTCAATTTTCAGGAGCTGAGAGGCATGGTTTGGCGATCAAAAACCATGGCTGCAGGGCACCCCTTTGGGGTCAAGGCGTCTGGGCTATGCAGCTTAGGCACATTCACCTGGCTTTACAAATTTTTGAGGACCTGGGACGAAGTGATGCATGACTTACAAATTTCAAGGACCCGCTGTGATTTCTTGAGTCCTACAATGTCCCCGGATGGATCGTTTTCAGTCTTCGAACCTTTGGACTATGCAGGGACCACAAAAATTTTTCGGGATATGTTGCTGACACCATGGAAGAGTTGGCAGGGGCCACATCCCCTGGACAAGCTTCAGATGCAATACACGCTTCATTCAATGAAAGCGACCTTGCTGAGTTTTGGCCCCCAACTCGGTTCTCTGGTCAGTGACTCAGATCGTCTTTTGCAAGGCCACCATCAAGATCCCAAACGTTCCTTGAATTTGTATGGTCGTGACAGCGTGTGGGGTTCATTGCGTTATCAACAGACAGTGATTACAGAGGTTCAGCAGGGTTGGAGGCCCAAAACCGCCCAACACAGGGGTGGACAGTTTCCAATGGTCGAGCCAACGGTAACGCTGGAGAGGTTTAAGAAGACAGCTCCAGAATACAATTTTGTGTGGTTGCCGTTTGCCCCACAAGTGGACCCCCAAGAGCTCCTGCAGGAGCATCCAACAAGTGATGATGTGTCGGAATCGGAATCAGACACCAGCTCCAGCTCCAGTGACAGTGGAAGTTCTTCCGGGGAGAAACCTCCTCCTAGTGGCACGGCGATTTCCAAAGAGGTGATTGAAACTGATGAAGCAGTTTATGCAAAACATCGTCGCGTTACTCATGCCATGGTCATCTCAAATGATGGCAACCCCTCCAGACCTTTTCACTGTGACAACTACTGGAAGGCTGCATGTGGTGCTCACATGCTTCATACGGAGACGACCTTTTTAGATGATTGGCAGGACGGTATGGCATTTTGCCAACATGCGGGATGCAAGAAAATTTGGGCATCCATAAACTTGACCTGAATTTGCGTGTCAAACGAGCGTGAAAACAGTGTGCCGCGTTGAGACAAATTTTCACCCTCATGACAGAGGGCATTCACCACTGCGTCATGGCACCATGTCCAAGCAATAAAGGGGTTTGTACTCAGTATGGTTTGCATTACACTGGCTCAAATTTGTTCATGACCGCAGCCATTTCAAAAAAAAAGGTTTTTTAAAAAAAACACAAGCAAGGGGCCATCTCTGGAGAACTTCCATTGCCCTCTCGTGCAGTCCTCAATGTCATATCACACTTCATTCAATAACAGCGTATGCACCTGATTGAACGGCACATTGGTATTCGTAGGTCAAAATTTGGCTTTTCCCAACTGTCAGGTTTGATTCATGTTGAATTTCACACATTATCACCTCATTGCGTTGCAGCGTGGCGTCATGGCTTCTCAAAGTCTGGAAGACATCATGTCCACATGTGGCGTGGACCCAACAATAGCATCACAGCTGGTGCAAGATGGATGGACAACTCAGTCCTTCGCGTGTGCAGCCTTAGACCTTGAGTCTTTTGACAGGCTTTGGCAGGACCTTTTTGCTGATACGGAACTCAGTTTGCTTCAAAAGGCATCAGTGCGTGCAGCGTTCAAAATGTGTCAATCCGCTTTGCAGTCAGTGGCGGCTCCGTCAGCCCCATCATCGGCGTCCGCATCAGGTGACCCCATGACTAGCCAAAATTCATGGGCCGAAAGTTTCCCTCCAAAGTTGGATTCCTCAGTGATTGACCAGTTGAAAGCCAAATTTCTGGCTAGTTACCCGTCAGAGTTGGTAAACCATGACACCATGCCAAGCACGAGACTCCTCAGCCTTGTTCACCACCAGCTTCTGAAGAAGCAATGGGCCTGGATTCCTTGGAAATACAGGCTAACGATGGCTAAAGCTGATGAGATTTCCTCCCAGCGGCAAACCAAGATGCCCAAATTGGAATTGGCTTCATTGCATAACCTGTTGGTTGATGAACCTCCCTCAATAGATATTTCCAATTCAGGTTTTGGGGTCAATGCGGTACGAAATTTGCTGGCAGTTCATGACATGGCAGTTGCAATGTGTGGAGGTGCACACCTGGCCAATTTAAAGGCTTACTCGGCCAAATTTCTGGGCTTCTTGACGCAGAAGGTGGATCCGGAAACGATGTTGAGGTGTGCATCCATTACTGAAGCGCAGGCCGCAGACAGACAGATTTGTGCAGCAATAGCAGATTTAATGGCTGAACGCAACTGGGACATGGACAATTGCCTGCATGAGTTCACTCATATTCGTCATGATTTGCCAGGTCTGTTGCAGCTCCGTCCACGTCCAGCCAAAGCCCAGTCCTCCTCTCAACCTTGGACTGCTCCTGCATCGAATAAGGGTAAAGGCAAAGGCAAACCATCGAAAGGCAAAGGTAAATCAAAGGGCAAAGGTAAAGTGCAATGGCTGACTGATGTCAAGACAAAGGACGGTCAGTGGAAGCAGTTGTGTATGAGATACCAAACAGGTAATTGTTCCCTGGGTGACAACTGCCGTTTCCAACATGGATGTGCATATCCGGTCAACGGTCAAGCTTGCGGCCTGGATCATGGCGCCCTCCAGCATCAAAACACATCACACTGACTTTCACAGCAGGAACCGGAAGTGCAGGAAGTGGCCATGGCGACAGGTTCCACTACTCCAGCACCAGCAGCGACAGCGTCCTCAGCAGTATCTTTAAAAGATGTTTCGGAGGTTCAGGTTTCACCTCCCGGTTCCTCCGGGGAGGCAGCAGTATCACCAGTTTCACCAACAGTTCTTTCACCATCTCATCCAGTGTTTCACACAGGTGACGGCAAAATATTTTTAGATATTTGCTCGGGAGCAACACGGCCATTGAGTAAAGCCATTTTGGCACAACATGGTGATGTCTTAGCCTTTGATATTCTTCTGGACTCAAGGATGGATTTGTTGAATGACCAGAGCTATGAGCAGCTCTTGAGGATCTGCTCATCGGGCCAGGTGGCATATGGCGCTGCTTCTCCTTCCTGCGCCCACTACTCTCGGCTGAAACTGCATCGACCTGGTCCGAAAGCCTTGAGGACACCGGAAGCTATGCAAGGTGTCCCTGGATTGACAAGTGCGGAGCTTCTTCAGGTACAAGATTCATATATGATGCTTTTTCGATGTGTGACTTGCTTAACATTGATTTATCAAGCAGGAGGTCATGCTCACCTAGAGCAACCTCCATCAGCTATGAGTTGGTTGGAAGATTGTGTCAAAGCTTTTGTGACTCTGATTTCGGCCTGGTGCGTGGTTATTTCTGCTTGCGCATATGGTAAGAACTGGTACAAACAATGGATGTTTGCGAGCAGCTGGCAAAAAATTGCAGAACTGGGCCGTCTCTGTGATCACCCTAAAGGGAGCCATGTATCTTTGGTTGGAACCGTATCGGACACAGGTGAATATCTGAGTAGACAAACAGCTTGCTACCCGGAGGATCTGGCTACAGCCTTTGCCGAGCGAGTAGCACCTCTGGTGAGCCATTCATCGCACGACTGGAAATGGGATGATATTTCTCAGATTCCTCCCTTAAAAACTATCCTCCAACCCCCTTTTGGACAAGAAGATGGTGGTGGATTTACATCTAACCCTGACTGGAGTTTGGGTGAGCGAGTGGCCACGGACTTTTTCGGTCCTCTTCGACAGAAATGGGTTCAACGCATTTTGGATAATCGGTTGGACAAGTTTTTAGTCCAATTCTTTTCGCAAACTGATCATTCTTCTCCACCGTTTGCAGAGAATATCATCACTCCTTTTCGCAATGACCTGGAACAATTTTTGCAGGATTCCGGCATCAACCCAGATTGGACTATCCGGGACCATCAACCTATGTGTTTGCACATTATGCATGGACTCTGCCAGATCATGCAAGACCCCGATCAGGCATTGTTTCCAGCGCTGATTGAGGGTGTGGGTGCTGGTTTTCAACGGGATATTCCTTTGAGTCATTGCTTTCCTCTTAATGTTTCTGCGGAGGCTGATGAGCCACCACTGTCGGCCCATTTGACGAACTGGCAGAGCGCTGACGATGATATCATGTTGACCAGGCAGCTTGTACAACAGGAAATCGACAAAGGATGGGTTTTCCCATTTGAGGGTACTTTGCAGGATGCACAACAGCGATATCCGTTGGGCGTTGCGCTGGGCAAACTTGGCATTGCCCATGCAGATGGGCGACCTCCACGACTGGTCTTAGACCAAACAATCTGCGGCCTTAACGGGCGTTGTGTGATACCCGAGCGAAGTACGTTGCCATCCGCTAAGGATGTACTTCGCACATTTCCGATCCGAAACTATTCTGGGGATCACATGGGATTTTCGCTCGACATTAAAGCAGCTCACAAAAGAGTATGCATTCGGGAAGAAGAACATGGCCTTCTCGGATTTACGCTGCAAAATCAATTATATTTTTACAGAGTGGCCCCTTTCGGGGCCACTTTCTCGGCCTCATGGTGGTCTAGACTTGGCGGCTGGATGTTGAGGTTCTTCCACTTTTTGCTCTGGTGGGCACATGTGGCCCTACTGTACGTTGATGACTATTTGTTCCATCAATCCAGTTTTGGCATGCCAATCTCAGCTGCTATGATTTGTCTGTTTTGTCAAATTGTCAACATCCCCGTTTCTTGGCAGAAATGCGAACTTGCATTCAGCATACAATGGATTGGCTGGAAAATCCATTTTCGTTCCGGTTTTATTGAGATACCAATGCAAAAGATTGACAAGTTTCTGGGCTATCTCCATTCTATGGGACGCAGCTCCAGGACTTCCAAGCGGAACCTTGAGAAATTGATTGGACTGGCACTTTGGCTGACCCAACTTTGGCCATATATGCGAATATGGATTCGACATTGGTATCATGACCTCTATTCCATTCCAGCAACACATTATAGCATTGACAATGGTGATTGGCGACAATTTTCAAGTCATTTGGATGAAAATCTACATATCATTTCTCGCCCTCAGGGGACCGCACTGCCAATTGGAGGCCAGCTACTGGCGGTTCGCCATCATACAGTCAAGACGAAGTCGGATTTGACGACAGTTCCTCTCTCCAATAAAAGAATTTGGCTTCGGATTCGAGATCCCTCTTCCACCAAGAGACATTTGTCTTCCTCGAGTTTACGAATTATACAACATTTCATACAATGGGTTACAGGCTTGTCTCCTATGAAACCCTTAACCCCAAAAAAGTATTGGGATGGGGAAGCAGCAGCTGATGCATGTGCTTCTGGTAGCACATGCGAAATTGGAGGCTTTGTCAAATCAGCTACAGGCCAAATTTACTGGTTTTCGGAGATTTATTCACATTCAGATTTTACTCAACTGGGCATTGAGCTGGATGCTGAAATGCAGCGATCTATTTCGGCTTTTGAGACCCTGGCTCAAATCGCTTTACTGTTTGTGACTTCCAAATTTTTTCCGGCGCATCGAATGCCCATTTGCTTGAAGAGCCTCAGTGACAACAGTGGGGCCGAATCCGGTAGCAATAAACTTTGGAGTATGACATATCCTCTATCAATTTTTCTTGAACGAATGTGTCTTTTGTCCGCGATGTTGGGGATGGAAATTGATGTCAATCATATCCCGGGCTCTCAAAATATTTTGGCAGATGACTTGAGCCGTTGGGACCAAACAGGATCACCACCTCATTCATTTCACTTGAAAGATCGCATCCGCATTCCTCTTGCAGAGCTGTGGCAGATTCGCACTTCTCCAACCTTGATTCCGAAAGAAGCTTCAATACCATGGACCTTACCTACTGTTTAATTCCTTTTTTCCTGATTGCTGGAATTCCCTCACTTTTCAATTGGGGTATATTTGGCGAGTTGAATTCCCAGATAGTTAATTTAGGGGTTTAAGATCCATCTGTCAATTCAACCAAAGGTTCAACCAAATAAATTTGTTGGTTGGTGCCTCGAAGACAAATAATTCCAGCAAGCGAAAAAGGGAATATTAATTAAACCGAGCGTGACCACGTTTCAGCAAACCAGATGTATGGTTTTGGAGAAGAAGTTTGGTTTTTGAATAATAGACAAGTTTAAGTTTGGTTTGTTCATATATATATATATATTAAGATATATATATATTAGAAATAACCCAGAAGACTGAAGTCCTTGTAGAACGTTTAACGTACTTGTTTCGTTTATGTTTTACGGGGAACTTTCAGATCTGTATTTACCTTGAAACATTTTGGTTCAAGCTTACTTCAATCTTCTGGTGCGTTTATTATGCGTTTTGCTTGTTAAAAAACCCACCCATCCCACACCTGGTTATTCTTGTTATTATTATATTCACTGTCATATTCGTTTGTTGATTCTTTTGCTTTACCTAATGATCCATCCAATGTTCTTGGAATGGCTTCACCTGCTGTGCTCGTTTTGTACAGGGTAGTGAGTCCACTTCGACCTTGGCCTTACTCAAAGCATTCCAAGCATCCGACCTTATCCCTCCATCCAGGAGGTTTTGCATCCGCCGTAGTTCCTGCGTCGTCACCTTCACTAGGTTTTCTGTTAGTCACCACTTTGCATGCTGCTCGGCTTTTCTCACAATATGTGAGTCGTTTCTATTGACAGGGGGTTTAAGATCCATCTGTCAATTCAACCAAAGGTTCAACCAAATAAATTTGTTGGTTGGTGCCTCGAAGACAAATAATTCCAGCAAGCGAAAAAGGGAATATTAATTAAACCGAGCGTGACCACGTTTCAGCAAACCAGATGTATGGTTTTGGAGAAGAAGTTTGGTTTTTGAATAATAGACAAGTTTAAGTTTGGTTTGTTCATATATATATATATATTAAGATATATATATATATATATATTAGAAATAACCCAGAAGATTGAAGTCCTTGTAGAACAAAGGTGGAAAAGGTCAAGACAGCAAAGATCGCTGTGCAATCTGCTGGAAGGCCGGCCATACCACTGAGAAGTGCTGGTTCAACACAAAAGGTCAGGAAAAGGGAAAGGGTAAGAAGGCAGTAGCAGCCGTGAATGAAGGTGACAATGCCTCCATTGTCTCGGCTGGTCCCTCGGCATCGCAGGTTGGGGGCAACAATAGCGTCATCACCCTTCCTTCCTCGTCTTCGACGTCGTACAGAAAAGACAAGAACGTCAGTAAGATCGGGGAACACCGACTTCTCATGGTAAAGCCCGGCCACAGCGGGCAGCACCGCGTGGAATCAGTTTCACCTCAAGCCATTTTGGCAACCCAAACGGCGGGCAGTACAGGAGTCAGCCAACACCAGCAAAATGCCATTTTGGCAGAACAGGCCATTTTGGCCAAGTGGCAGGCCATTTCGGACTGCAAAGACAAACCAGGCTGGCATGACCTTGACACGGACACCAAGGTGTACGTGGTACGGGGGAAAGCTGGCACCCAAAGGAGGTATGTCACACCGGGGCCTCAATACTCAGATTTCACTCTGAGGTCCACCTGGCAATGGGACTATGCCGCCGATGCATGAGAAACCAGGGAGCTTGGAAGGAAATGGAAGCTTCTTCAAAACCCACATAAGGCATTTGCGGGAAGCAAAGTATGGGCATTGCATGCTTTCCAGAGAAGCACGCCCAAGATAGCCAGGGTAGCGAGCAGAGGCACGCTATTGGTGGACACTGGAGCATGCTGTTCGGTCTGCACCCCTGAGGCGTTTCAGACAGCAGACCTCGACCCAAGCGCCACAGAGGAGCTCTACACAGTAGATGACACACCGCTGAAGGCGTGCGGGGAGATCCGCCCCAAGTTGCGACTCGGAGAGCAGCTTCAGGAAGAGGCACAGGTCACTTTTCAGGTGGTCGAAGGTGTGAATGAGAACATCCTGTCAGTCAATCGAGCCCTGGACGTTGGAGCCAGCGTCCACTTCGAAACTGACAACTGCTACATCCAATGGGCAGATGGCAGCATCGCCACGTTCCGGCGAGAAGGGAGACAGTTCCTGTTGCCCTACGAAGAGCTGGATGGCGGAAAGGGCCAGGTGAAGGTCGCAGCCATCAACCCCGAGGATGAAGAAGCAATGGCAGTTCACCGCCATGCCCTCCAGGAAGATGAGGAAGCCGACGCTGTGCGAGAGTTCGCCCAGCAAGAAGCGGACGCCGCCATGCAGGCGGAAGATCCCGGCCTGCTGGCCGACTTGGAAGAAGCGGCAGACGAGCCGGAGCCGCCTGAACCAAGAGGGCTACCTCAGCCGGAAAGCCCCACAGAAGAACAGCGACAGCAGCATCGGTTAACTCACCTGCCATTCGCGCCATGGTGCGAGGAGTGTGTGAGCGGGAAATCCCGCCAAGACCAACACAAGCGAGACCAGTCGACAGAACGAGATCAGGGTATCTCGGTGGTCCAAATGGACTACTTCTTTCTGTCTCCAGAACGGGAAGAAGAGGTAGAAGACGAATCTCGTCTTGTGACCATCTTGTGTTTAACCGATACCGGCACCGGATGGCCATTGACACTTCAACTCCCCAACAAGTCTGTGGAGGTGGCTCAGTCAAAATACTGCCTGCAGAACATCGACCTCTACTTCAAGAACTTGAGGTATGACAAGATCATCCTCCAGCACGATGGCGAGCCCGCCATAAGAGCCCTGGCAAACAGCATCCAACGCCATGTGGGTGCATCCAAGGTCTCTGTGCGGGAAGCTCCGCCGAAGCAACACCAGAGCCAAGGAACTGTGGAGTCGATGAACGGATTCGCAGCTTCGCAAATCCGGACTCTGTGGTTAGATGTCAGGCAGAGGTATCCTGAGCTGGACGTGAGCAGCAACCTCACGCCATGGCTTGTGCGCCACGCGGCGTGGCTCATAGCCAGATACCACACACGCAGCAGAGATGGCATGACGCCATACAAGCTGGTCACAGGAGGTGACTACAACCATCCTGTAGCCACGTTGGGAGAAATAGTGCTGGGCAAGGTGCCGAGCCCCAAAGGCAAGATCCAACGCCGATGGATCAAAGGAGTGTGGCTTGGAAAGCTGGACAGGGACGACAGCAATGTGCTCGGCACAGCGTCAGGTGCAATCGCTGTGCGGTCCATAAGGCGACTGCCCAAGGAGGGACAGATCAGCTCAGAGCTGATGGCAGCCATGAAGGGAACCCCTTGGCAGCCGAGAGATGGTGTGAGGCATAAGATCACTCGTGAGTTGTCTCAGCCAATCGCTTTTCCAGCACCAGCCGCATCGGGTAGCCCCGAGCGAGAAGAAGCAGCAGA